TGCCCAACTAATTAGTTTTCAAGACTGTCAATGAAAGAAAAGCATTTTCAGATAATACAACCTACTTAAAAAAAAATCAAAGGATATATTAACAGATGAACAAGAGGGAAACTGAACTTGGAGGGAAGAAGTAACAGTCAAAAAGTCATGATAACAGATTGGAAAACCTGTATTTACTAAATTATTCGACTTGGAGGAGAATGATTTTTAAAAAGATGAAACTAAAATGACACTAAAATAATAATGACAGTATGAAAGACAGAAGTTGCTTGCCGTTAAAGCTTTCTAAAATGTCTATATTATTCAGGCAAATAGAAATAATGACTTTAAATGTCAAGTCAAATATGCATGTTAAACATGTAAGAGTAATTAATCATTAAAATAATAGTAATAAAATGTTTAACTTCCTAACCAACAAAGAGAACACAATAAGTAAAAATTCAAAGAGGAGGTAACACTAAAAAACAAACAGAAAAAAGAAAAGTCATGGAATATAAAGAAAATAAATTACAATGATAAAAGTAAATTCGAACATATCAAGAACCACAATAAATATAAATGGATTAAATTTACAAATTTAAAAGAGATTCTCAGATTCCATTTTTTTAAATGCACACTTCATTCACAAGAAAAAGACCTAAAACATGAATGACATAGAAAAAGTAATCACAAAATAATTAATACCAGGCAAATATTAATCAAAAGAAAATCAGTATAGGTGATAAAAGCAGATAAAGTAATTTTATAAATAGTATAGCAGTAAATTAGAATAAAGAGATTTATTATTAAACTGAAAATATTGCAGCTTATTCCATATGGCAAAGATAAGCAATACTTTGTGAAACTTTTATTTTTTGTATTATATAAAATGAACTTTCTTTTGGTAATGGTTAAAGTTTGAAAGTCTTCAATTGAATGTATGTAAATTAAAGGCTTCACCCAAAATTGGTGCCTACACATCCTTCTCAAGCACTCAAGAAATATTTTAAAAACCTGGCCATTTACTAGGCACAATTCTCAAACCGTGAGAATTCATATCAAATCCTGAATGATGATGAAAGGTGCCCCACATCTATCTACCAGGTGGTTCCCTGTGGTTTCATTCACTGAATGACTTCTGGTTCACTGACATGGTCTAGAGCATGTCCCTATCCCCTGCTAGTGCTGACTAGCTCCCTAGTATTATTTGTGTCTATATAGAATGCATTATTGAGCACTCAAAACTTCCGGAAGAATGAAATATTGTTCACTGGAAGCACTTGGATAATCTTTAAAAAGTTCAAACTAAGCTAAGGTTAACCATTTTCCACATTTTGAGATAATCTACCTTAGGGAGAGTTGAGTAATAAATAGATGAAAAAAAGGGGGGCACAAAAATATTTTGAGCTTGCACAAATGGAGGGGGGTGTTGGGTATTTGGGTGCATGGACCATAGCATGAATAGGCACAGGAAACAAGCAAGTAAGCTAGAGCTAACCAGAAGCTGGTTAACCCATGATTCTAGATGGAGTAACATTGCTAACTTTTTTCACTTGTCTCATCCATCAGTAAGTGACTTTTTCAAGGTAAACTTCCACTAGTGCAAAGAGAACTAGAAGAAATAGTGTCTTCTCAACTGTCTTTTCTTTCCTTCCAGGGTTTACTGCCATGTTGGGAAACTCAGCTGGGACACAGGGCTCGGCCAGGGAGGAAAGAACCTCTATGTCACATGAAGAAGTAAGACAAGTAGGAGACAAAGTCTAGTTTGTTATTTAAGCAGAAAGTGACGCTGTCAGATTTGGCCACTGCAGGAGAGAAAGTAGAGGTTAGAAGCAGTGCGTGCTTTTACAGCAGAGATTACATAGTGTCGGTCTTCAATATTCATTTGAGAGGAGACAGGAGAAAGGATGGATAGAATAGAGAAAGTAATAATTTTTAATTGTGCTAAAAATGATCCACTTTAAAGTGTACAATTAAGTGGCATTTAGTACATTTACATTGTCACAAAACCATCCCATCTGTCTAGCTATAAAACATTTTCATGATCCCCAAAGAAAATCACATATCCATTAGGTAATCCCCTCTCCCCAGCCCCTGGAAACCACTAATCTGTTTTCTGTCCCCATGGATTTACCTAGTCTGGATATTTCCTATAAATGGGATCATTCAACACATCTATCTTCTTTAACTTCTTTTACTTAGCGTTATTTTCAAGGTTAATTCATATATTGGTTGAAAAGAAAAATTTTGAAACCTGCAAAAGCAGGACAGTAAAAGGCAGGCACAAGCACAAGGCAGGCAATTGAGTGTGGGAAGCATGAGAGGTAGGGAGAAATTGCCATTGCTTACACTGACCATGAAAAAGGCAGTGGAACCACTGATCAATGGGAAAGACAGAGGAGGTTCAGATGGGCAAGGGTTGTAACTTTGTTTTTGGGCACACTGAGTTTGAAGCACTAGGAGAAATTCATATTGGAGCAGTCCAACATTCAGCTGAAAATACAGCCTGCAGTTGAAGAGAAGTCCCAGCGGCACCACAGAGATGAAGGGGTGCAGGTCTGTGCCGAGGACCACGTGTACATCTGCAACTACTCCCTGTCATTTAGAAACACACACACAGTCACCTTTTTCAGAATGTGACACATCCATTTACAAAACTTACAAGGTGAACACTAATGAGCAACACTCGGGGCAGAGAAAATATGATCTTCACCCCACAGCAAAATTCATAGCATATTTTGTTCTGCCTTTGGTCAAAAGAACCCATCATGAAGGCCACAGCTGGCACTTTCCATTAACTATACCCTTGGCCACCTCTGAGCTTGTGCCACTTGGTCAAAGCTCAGCACTGCAGCACAGTTTGCCAGCAAGTAACTGTATTGGACTATAGTTTTATAATTCATTCAGGCAACAGCTCGACAATTCATTTAGAAGTTTGTTATAAATATGCAGTCCCACCAGTTTTGATTGCAATGCTGCAAGTGAAAAAATTATTGTGCCCCAACTGAGCATTCCCTTAGAGTAATTTTAACCCACAAAGAAAGGAAGGGGATCCCTCTACTTCCCTCTCACATCCAGTAGGAACCAGCATCACAGCTCTCTGAAGGTCTTTGTCCTGCCATGAGTATCAGTAATCATTTTTTTCCCCATAGGGCTATCTGTCACCTGATGCCAGGTCTTACACAGATCCATCTAAAGGTGTTCAAAAGAATCTGTGCTTGCTGAAAATACATTTGTTCATTTACTTCTTATGTGTATATATAATTTAAATATTTATTTACAAACATACATGCAGACATATATAATGTATAAAATATACTACTTCTAAGCTGTTTTGTATACCCCCAAGGTGTGTCTCAAACTGGAAATTATGAGGAAAGAAATCACAGTCGCATGCCTTCTAGCCAACTTGGACCAGCGCAGAAAGTGCAGTGGTTAGAGATACCCAATCACAGAAGAACCACCTCCAGTCCTGGGGAAAGTACAGGTGTACATTAAGGATATTTAAGGCAGAGGGTTTCCCCAGTGAAAGAAAGTTCTCAGGACCTACCCCTTCCTTTATGACTCTCACTGAGTTTCGTAGGTGAGCTGTGGTCTCCACAACTCCATATTCTCACCTTCACTCACTCCCTCACCAGTGAGGCCTTTGTACCAGGCACTGGACTAAGACCCCATGCTGAACCAAACAGATAATCCATCCCCACACCCTCAAGCCCACGGAGCTTGTGTCTTGGAGGTATTCATGAATGGGGGACTGACATAAGACAAAACAAACAAACAAACAAACAAACAGCATTTCTAGATAAGTGGTGACAACAAATAATTTACTGATATCAGAGGAGAAGTCCCTGTGTAGACACAGGGACTAATTTAACTTTGAAGTGTTGAGGGAGGGTGGGTTGAGGTGAGACACCACAGACCTGAAATTGAGAGAGGAGCCACAGACACAGCTGCAGAGGTTTCTGGAGAAGGCGTGTGTGGGGGTGGGGGTGGGGTGAGCAGGAAGAGCAGTGGAGAGACCAGTGTGGCTGTGAGGAGAGGGAGTGGGAGAGAATCAGAAGCAGCAGCACTGCTGTTTTGCTGTATTTGTTTGCTATACTATCCTGTGCCGAACTGACCTGTAAATACCTTGAAGACAGGGCCTGCACTGCTATATGCTGAGATATCTGCAAACGCAGAGCCTAGTATAAAGCCTGAATTATAAGTGGGTGAATGGACCATTGGGTGGATGGAGAAAGACTGTGTGACTCAGGAAACTTATCCAAAGGAAAAATAAGCTGTTGAGGGAGGCTATTAGCAGGTAATATGCTAGTTTTAGCCATCATTTTAAAGCCTCCCAATACTTTTCCATTTCATTAATATACAGGATATTTTCCTAGATAATATTCAGCTTTCATCTTGCAATGGAAGTCAACAACAAAACAGGATTTACAGTGCTGTATGCAACTGAAAATAATAACATACATATATTCATTTTCTAGACCATTTTACTAGAACACATTCATTCCAAAAATTAAAAAAAAAGGATATTTAAATCATATTGGCTGAATAATAAGTATAGGTAGAACACACTGTTATCTGTTCACACGGCTTTAACAGACAACCCGGAGCACTATTCCCAGCTCACTGGAAGAAAAAAAATCTCAAGAAAAAGCACCTGCTTAATTTTATATTCTCGGAACAACATACCCCATTTGGTCATATAAAAGGAATTAATAACCAACTCATCTATAAGGAAATTATAAAAAAAAATTTAGACAAGAATTCAACAAGACTGTTCTGTAGTCAGAAAGAGAGTATTTTTAGGCTTTGCAAGCAACATACAGTCTTTGGCCACAGTCTTCTTTGCTTTTGTAGGTTTGTTTTTGCATGGTTATTATTGTTCTTTATAAGGCCATACAAAATGCTAAAACCATTTTTCATTCCTAGGTCCTACAAAGAATCTATGGTTTGCCCACTTGGAATCTTAAGTTCCTACCAGTTAAACCCCAGGGAGAAATGCCCATAGATATCTGGATTACCTCTTTCAGTCTCTCCAGCTCATTTTGAAGAGCCTGTTTGGATATTTCCACTTCAATCATCTGCTGTCGGAGAGTTTCATTGTCATCTTCGGCTTTAGCACGCTTTTCTTCCACAGTTTCAAGTTCATGGTGTAGTCTGACAGATACATCTTTGGCTACCTGAATCGACCCACAGAGATAGTCATGAGGATATACAGCTTTTCCTGGGCTGAGGATACATTCAGACAACTACAGAGGCAAAATCATTAATATGGTATTACACAAAAGAGCAAAGACTCTTGCAATGTTAGTTTAAAACATAAAATCCATGTTATGAGGGAGAATATGACTTTCATCTGACTAAAAGATCACTTTGGATAACACTTCCTTATAGAATGTCACCAAGAATGCCAGTCCTGCCCAGGTGCACATGCCTTAAATTATAAATAATAATAAAAACAAACATTATTTGTGTAAAGGTAATATTAGGCCTCTCTGCAAAAAATAAAATAATTCTGCATACAGCAGATGTTCAATAGAGTCAAGTTATAAATTGTCACCTATGTAAAATATCCGAATGTTATAAGTAGTTAAACATTTTTACTTTCTAAAAGGAAATGAGGAAAGACATTTTGCAAGAAAAATATAAATCACCCTTATATCACACTGAATGACATTTTGTTAGTGGTTTATAAATTTGATAGAATTACAAAGATCCTTTTCCTGTTACAATGAAAGGCTAAATGAGATTTCACAAGTACTCCCATAATAAGGAGGACACTATGTATAATTCATCTCTAGATAAATGATTTGATAATTGAGGCATGAGAGAAGCAGTGCTGCTCATGGAGACAGTAAATGGTATAAAGTCTGGAATTTCTTCACCTCATTCTCATTTCTGTCAATGGTTCTCAAAGACACTTCAGACAATTAGTTCTGACTCTAGTTCTCCTTCAGTTAAATCGCCACTATACATCTCACTTGGGTTATTGTCATCTCAGATTTTCTGCATCCTAAAAACTAAATCAATATAAAAATGTTAAGTAATTATGGTCAACTTTAACAGTGGTCTTTGACTATAACTGTATTGATAACTGATTTTTTAAAAATCATGTCAGAGTTTTAGAAAAAGTCTCTGTACAATTTCTATACAATTGCCAAACCAATTGGCAGGTGCTAGTTCTTTTTCACTGTAGATCCATGACTATGATTTCTTTTCTCTCTTTTTCTTCCTTTGATTTTTTTTTTTCGTAGGTTTTAAGATTCTGGTTCAGATGACAGACTTAGATCTTGACCCATCAAAGCCATATGACTACACATACCCTATAAGTCATAAAGTAAACAGACTGTTTATGCTGAAATTTGCTGAGGGAGATACACAAAGAGAACATGAGGCTCAGGTGTGAGCAAGTTCCGAGGGCTGCTTTCTCAGATTGGGGACCCCATCCCAGCAGCCCTTCTGGGAATGTGCGTCCCACAGCCCCACAGCTCACTCACCTTCAAGTCCTGCTCCAGACTTCGGATAAGCTCACCATCCACCTGACCTGTCTCAGCCACTTTCAAGCTTTTCTGCTCAGCTTTCCTAAGGCGGTACTGCAGAATTCGGCAGTTTTTATTAGCACGGTCCAATTCTCGCCGTAGCTCCTGCAGTTGATAAACATCTTCTTCTAAGTAGCTGTCTCTCATCTCTTCCATTTCAGCACGGAGTTCATCCAACTCATCCTACACAAGCCAGGAGGACTAGATTTATAAGCCAAGTCCATCAAAAAGGATAGTGTCTCCCTCCCACCCCATGCCCCATCAAACTAAATATTAGCCTGCACAGGTGCCCAACTGCTTGGGCCACACCTGTGTCATAGACTGCAGGGTCCTCTGGAAACTCTTGCATTGAGATAGTATCACCAGATGTCTGCTCAAATCTTATGGTCCCAGAAACCAAAAAACACCCTAGGTTATTCACTGTAGTTTTCAGCATGTATTGCATTCCCAAAATTTCTTTATATAATCACAATCACAACTGAAATCAAATCTGAAGATAATTAAGTCTTTACAATCAAACCAAACACTGGCTATTTCTAAAGCACAATCTAGGTACTAAAATGAGTCAGACAGACCCTGCCTTCAAAGAACATAAACTTTAGTGGGATTGTAACTGTGAATTGCCATAAAATTATAACATGTCTGCAAATGTCCCTAAAATTCTGTTCCACAACAGAAATCTCAGCATTGACTATGTGACTCACAATTCTAAAGATAAACCCTTTTGCATCATTTCAAATACACATCAGGTTTGGTTTTTTCCATCCACTGATCCTTCATTTGCCTTCTCCATTCTACTCTGGTATCAACATGAAGACACTCTGGCTACAGACAAAAGTCCAGAGTTAACCCCAGGCTATCCTTTGTTCCTCTCCCTTTCACACGCAGCCCAGTGCTGTCAGCTACATTCCCAGCAGCTCCACACCACTACACTAGCCCAAGCCCCCATCTCTCTCAAGGCAGCAGTAGCATACACAGCTCAGTTCATCAGTAGGGTCCCTGATTCTCCCCTTCATCATCCACAGTAAGTTCTTCACCCAGAGAGTGCGTCCTATACTATGAAACTCAGATGACCTTCCTTCCCTTAACTGAACCCTCTAGGGGTTCCCATCACATTGAGAAAATTCTTCCACATCCTCCCCAGGGCCTCTAGGCGGCCCCTGCCACAGAGCTGCTGTCACAGGGTCAGAGGTGCTCCAGGTCTTTCACCTGTTATGCCTGCTTCTTAAATGTTCTTTCACAGCTCTTTGCCAAGTCCACAGTCACAAAGTCTGGAAGGCATACAAAGCCTTTCCTGACCACCCTTCCCACCTCCTATCCTCTATCCCTTGCCTTGCTTTGTTTTCTTCATACTTCTTATCTCAGCTAATATAATTTTGTTTCTTTCTATCTATTATGGGTTGCCCTCACTAAATGGTAATCCCCTTGAGTGTCTCACTCCTCTTTGCCACACTGAAGGCCTTTAATAGATATTTGTGGAATGAATACCCATGAAGACCAACACCTGGAAAGACCAAATCATGAAGACAACAAAATTGGACACAACTGCACCTTTGCTGTGCCCCTGACTCATAGCCTAATTATGACAATTTCTTCCCAAAGCCATAGACATAACTGTAGTATTTCAGATATGAAGTCTACTGATATATTGCAAAAGATCCTACAGAGGAATAGTTTGGAAGAAGGAAAATTAAGGACAGCATTCCTAGACAATTCTAGGAATTGTCTTTATTAATTTGATAATTGATGGTTTAAAATGCCTCCAGAATAGGATTCAAAGTCATTCCCATTTATTTTGTTCAATTAATTCATATTGAGACTCAAGAAAGAAGCTCTCTCAAACTCTTGACACCCTTGTCAGCTCTCATCTTGCTGTTTAGTTTGCTCCTTTTACTGGATAGCACAGAAGCTAGTCAGCTGAACACACATGAACAGAATGGACAGGTTTGGCTTTTCATGGGACAGGGAAACACCGCTCTTTTGGGAAGGGAGAACGGTAACTGCAACAAAGAAGAGGTTGTCCCACACTGAGACTGTGATGATGCTGTGCCCCTGATGCAACTCATCAGGGACAGGCCCAACTGGAAGAGGCTGACCTTAGGCCCCAAGCTAAAAAGGTCTTGTGGATGGCAATCTTTGTTTGGATAAAGAATAGAGAACTAATCCTGAATCTTCAAAATCAAGGTCAAGTTTCAATCAGGTTCCATCCATGAATATGATGGATCTGACTATGGGGAGGGCCTAGCCTCAATAATTACACCTGAGTACAATTAAAAGGTAGTTGTTTCAATAGGTAACTAATAAAAAATAGTTTAACACAAGCAATACTCACTATATGCATATACATACATACAAATATATATAGCATACCTAATGTTCGGTGACTTTGGGTCATTCTGTTCAAGAAAGGAAATTTTTTCTTCTAGAAAGCTTGTCCATAAAAGCCAAGTCACTATGGCCTGTAATTACCTGTTATCTCAAAAGCTTTTAAAATGAGAGGCAGCCATAAGAAGATATGAGACCCAACTTTCATGCATAAAAATAGTCTCTAGTTTTCACTTTGTTACAGTAGGCCTGCATTGAACTAATGCTTAAAAAAAAAAAAAAAGTGTTAATAGCAAATGAACCTATACCTCCAAATCAATGAGCAGGCCAGATGCACAAATTTAATAATTTTTGGCATAAGTAATCACCAACATTAGTTACATTGAAAAGAAACTTAGGGAGAGACATATTGCATGTATTTGAATTATTGCTTTTATAACTCATGTTTTATCTAAATTTGTGGACCAGAAGACATATTTTATTAAACACTTTACCTTCATTGCTAGCCCTATAATAATCCTGCCAGGAACATATGACCCTATCTCATAGACAAGGAAACCAAGGCCAGGCTGACTGATCTGTCCAAAGCTTCATAACTAACAAATGGAAACTAGAATGCCAACCCAGGCTGTCTGGTTCCAAGCACACACTCTTTCCAATAAATTGTATAAATTATTTGCTACAACCAGGACAAATGTAACTCTCATACGCCCTAAATTATACTTTCAAGAGCCCACCATCAGCACAAAATAATGAAAGCTGGCTAAGATTCAGAGCTTTATAATTGTCAATGTATGAGTATATCCACATTGCAACTGGTGCTCAGTAAAAAAACATTGCAATGTGCAGCAAAGATATCAAAACTCCAGTTTTAAAATGAGTTATTTGAGACACTAACATTTTAAATGGTTTCCCAACAATGGTCTATTTTTTGGAGATGGGTAAAGGCCAATATTTCAACTCTTTTCATAAAATCTTGAAAGAAGCAATTTTCAGATTCAGTAAAAGAAATCACAAGAAAAGCAAATTATAAGCCATGTAAGCTGGCAGCAGATGTTTGAAAAAGCAAAAACTGACTATTCGGATTAGAGTCATGAGGGACAGTGATTTTCAAGCTAACATTACATTAATTTTCTGACAGCATGCTCTAATTTAGAAAACATTGTATTAAAGAACCTTAAAGATATCTGCATTTAAATATTTACAAAAACCAAATCAAGCAGAATATATGATGTTTCTGGCAGATATAATTTAGACATAGTAAGTAAAAGTGGAAAACTGCTGTTGTGTTTTTTTACAAAGAAATCAATAAGAAAAAATTGCCCTTAATCTTTACAACAACATGGTCCTAGAAAGTATTATGCTCAGTGCAATAAATCAGATGAGAAAGACAAACACCATATGATTTCCTCATGTGCGGTAGATAAAGAAACAAAACAAATACACCAACAAAACAAATCAAAAACAAAGTCCTGGACTACAAGAACAACACGGTAGAAAGGAAGTGGAAAAAATAGGGTGGGAAATTTGGGTAAAAGGGGTCAGTTGTATGGGGATGAAGAGAAACTAGGATTTTGGTGATTTTGGTATAACATAGTATATACCAAAAATGTCCTTAAGCAATAATTTTATACTGAATTTACATGAGGTCTGTCAGATATTTAAACTTTAGATATCTCATTGAAAAGCCAATCTAGCTTTTCATATAATTCAATACATATAATTCAATATGTAATGAAATCTTGAAGTCATATAAACCTTCCCAAAGAGGATGATTCCCCTTCACCTGCTGATAACAAATCATACCTTCTTCTATTTATGAAACTGGAGGAATAATGAGGTGCCATGTGTGCACTAGACTAGACCTAGACCAAGATAAAAATGAAATGTTTCAATGAAAACCGCTATGAGCATAGTTTCATCCACAAATATAAAATAACAGAGTTTATGACCTCTTGGTAGAGGTGATGAAAACTCTATCACACTGATAATTTTATTCAAAACTTAACATTCTTTCAACAACTGAAATCAATAACTGGTTTTATTTTAATAACCCTCTTTAAGTAGATCCACTTTGGGCAGTAGGAGCAGTCATCTGCTACTGTCACAATAATTCCATCTTCTGGGAGTTAACAGACAGAAGCTATTGTCTGTTGTAATATACAAATAATCCACCTCATTTCCCTCCGGACAATGGAAATGTTCTCTGCAGAATCCCAGCTGTAGCTAAGAAGGAACAGGGGCTGCTGCCATTGTTTACCAAGTGACAGTCCTCCCAGCAGCTGGCGGGCTCCATTTGCCCTAATCTACATTATCTTGCCACCTAAGAGTATTACAGCCCTTCTTTCATGGTTTGAATAAAGAATGGGTGTGGAAGGTGGAATGTCAGGAAAGAATAGGAATATTGTCCACTTTAACCCTTCAAAAGGAAGGGAGGAGGAGCAGGGCCTCAGGGAGGGAAGAAAGAGCTGAGGAGCTTTAGCTGCTCAGACCTGCTTGTTCTCTCAGAGGGTCTTGTCGGGCCCAGGCCCTCTGTCCCCCACCCCACCCCAGACCCCCTGAGGGTCTAGAATCCACAAAGCCAAATTCAACAGAATTGTTCAGAACTTGAAACTCAGAAAAGGGCCTCAGGTGAGAAGCAGAATGGTAAGGCTGGATCAAGGGAATGCCCACAACCTATAAAACCCAGTGACTTCCCTTAGGAAATCATTTCTCTCAAAGAATCCACCATTATCTGCCCTTTCAGCTGGCACTGACTTCTTTTGTTTTAACCAAAAACAACTGTTATGAAATAGCTGTGAAAGCAGAGCAGAACTAGGTAGCCCATCCCCCATGCCAACCCTCATGCATCCCAGGACATCAGCACGTTGGAAACACTATTTGGTGGGGGTGAGGTCGGTGTAGAAGATGAGAAGAGATATTACAAGTGTATCCCCAGTAACACTAAACACATGTTCAAAATAGGCCAATAAACATGAAGTGATTAAATCCTCCTGAAATGCCTGTGGAAACAGAACATAATTAATATGTTCACAATGAGCACTAAAGCTCGTCTGATTGTCTCAGAGCACTGGAGCAAAACACAGTTGCATCAGGCAGGCAGGCAGGCAGGCAGGCAGGCAGGCAACATACCAACAGCATTTTGTACAAGTTCTCGTCATTAAAAAACATGCCTGAGTTTGGTTTGAAAAAGCAAAAGTCTTTGAATAACTGTATGCAACTGCTTGCCTTAATTCCTGAAGACTTCTCAATGTACTAGCATTCATCAGAGGTAGGGGGACAACAGAGGTGTTTTTCTGACTGGGGTTTTTTGCAAAGCCAGCTACCTGGATTGAGTGAATCTGCATTTTTCTTACAGTCACTCTGGTGCCCTTTAATGCAGGTAGAGAAGAGCAGAAAGGAAGGTCAGGGAGGCCCAGCACAGCCCCATATAGCACAACAGAAGGCAGGCACTTCTCTGGTGCCATTTGCTATTTTTAAAAATCCAGCAATATGGCTAAAAACCAAGAAGAGAACGCCACTTGAATTTTCTGATCAATAAGGCATCCTCCTACGGTGTTGCAGGCCTTATTTTTCTGCTTGGTTACATTTAGGTCATTTTAGCTCAGAAATAATGACAGTCCTTTACAGTAATGGTGACAGAACCAACTCAGGAAAGAATGTAATACTTCAAGTGGTCAGAGACATCCAGAATATATCAAAGTAAAACATCTGGGCTAAGTCTCTTCTTGTTAGGTGACAGTGGATGGATGCTGTATCTAATGGCGAGAGTTCTGCGCAACATTCCCTAAGCAAGCAGTAGGTCAAGAACCACATCTTATTTACCAGTCACTAAACAAAAAGAGAATTTTGATTTATAATATACACACTCTAGGTGCACATGCCTCCTGCCTTTGCCCCAAGAAGTCACTGAAACTCAGAGTTGATTTCGAGTAAGTGGGCAGCTCCTTGACCTTCAAAAAAGTCTACCAGGGGAAATAAGTCAGAAGGAGAAAAACAGACACTAGATGATCTCATTCACATGTGGAAAATAAAAAACAAAGCAAAGGAAAAGTCAGCTGGGCCTCCCCTGTGGCGCATGGGGTTAAGATGCAACCTATAAACTGTCCTCAGACTCTGCAGCATGAGTTCAATCCCCAGCTGGCCAGGAAGCTACCCACATGGCGTAGCAGACCTCTCCTGACTTGCCCGCTGCTCCCCTCAGCAGTGTACTTGGGTCGATCTGCCTGTTCTGGTCCCTGCTCTGTCTCTGGTGAATCTTCTCACCCCACCCCACCCCCCACACCCACACCTCTGGCCTGAGCCCCAGCTCTTGTATGCATAAATAAATAAATCTTTAAAAAAAAAAAAAAAGAAAAGTCAGTTACAGAACAAAATGAAGATTGAAAATTGACTGCACAACCGAGGATAACAGAATGGCAGGGTTGGGAGCAGGAGCAAAAGGGGGAGTGGCCCCAGTGGACTATGGTGGAGGGTTATCCTGACTTTGGTAGTGGGCGTGGTGTGTTAACTTACACTTGCAGAGGTGTGACCCTACACCCCTAGAACATACACAGTGTTGTAAACCAATGTTCCCGCAATAAAAAAATATTTTTAAAAATAAAGTCTGGTAGGATTGTTGTGTTTATTTTCCAAAATGAACTACTGCAATTAAAACTTTTGAGTTAACAAATATGCAACTCCCATATGTATCTGCAATTGTTAGGGTGTTGTTGCCTCCTTCAGACCCCCTCTACCCATTTCTCTCTCCTGCTGTCATGGGAAAGACTGGGAGAGGCACCATGGATAGTAAATGTTTGGGCATGACACTTGCTTCCCGAGTAATAGCAACTGAACATTTCCCACAAGAGAAACACTGCCAGTGATTTATATGACCATTTTGTACACAGGCTAGTGAAGCAGTGTTCATTATCGCCCAATCACCTAAAAAGAAAACAAAGTCCCTTAGGAGAGAGCTAAACACTTGGGAATGTTTTGAGCTAATAAAACAACTCTAAAGCAAGTAGTGTATTCTGAGAAAAGTCATCATGATGGAAATAGATATGTAGCCTGGTTGGGTAAAAAAAGCAAAGGCTCTGAAGTCTGGGAAAATAGAAACTAACTTTCACTAACTGTATCACCCTGGGCAAGTCACTTAAGTTTTCTGAATTCTCAGCATCCTTGTCTGCCAAATTGGGGTTATGATAAATACACAATTATATTCTATGTTGTTGTGAAAATTCATTGAAATATCAAATTAGACTGCAGGGTTAGATGCCCATTTTATTCACTGAGAATCTAGCAACAGGGAAAGATAAAGGAAATGTCAGTTACCTAGGAATGAATCCCGAAGTGATGTCTAACTGCCTACCTTAAGATCAAAGATGTTACGAGAAAGATCTTAAAAACAAACAGGCAAACCAAAAAACCACATTTCTGTTGCTTAGCAGTTATGATTTGGATAAATATCCCTCACTCTGCAGTATTATCAGGATTATGCTGAGTTGAAGCTACCAAACTGAACAAGATGATCTTTCCTCCCCTCAAGGACCTTACATTTATTTGTTGAGATTTTTAAAAGTGTTGCTTTCAGGACAGAGTCACACACAACATGGTTGCCCTTTCTCTTCAAACCTTCAAATTCCCCTCTGTTGTCTCTTACATAAGAGCAGGTGACAAAAGCAAATGCACTATTTGAACTACCTCACCCCCAGTCCCAGCAAGCTCCCTCTTCTCCCTTCTCTCCCTCCCTGCCTCACTGGTAGCTCTCTGCATAGTCAAATAACCACTAATAGCTCTCTGCATGGTCAAATAACCCCTTATCTCCTGATAAGAGGAGGTTTGGGTTCAGGAATAATCCTCAGTTAACCTGATCAGATAGGCAGAGTTCACCACCACTCACCTTACAAAAGCCCACGCCCTGGGTGTCAATCTGGTAGGTTCCTCATTTGCTGAGAGAACTGCACAGGCCACATAACCCTCTGGTAATAGAGTCACCCCATGGGTTTGGAAGGATATATTGCCATCTTAAGAGAGACAGGAATAGACATACACCACTGGAGCTATTTACTAACAAGAGGATGACAACAAATTAAAAGCTGCCCTCAACACAACTCCCCCTATTTTCTCTCAAGTCACCTGGATTGTCTTGCCTCCCCAGCCCCTCCCCAACACTGTCTAAGCCCTGCAGCGTCAGCCTTCCTCCTCAGAAAAAACATGGAGTCAGATGGGGAGCCCCAAAGCTAACAAAACCAAGGGCCACTGCTATCAAGCCCTGCCAGAGAAGGCTCTGAGACCCGGCAGCAGAGGCTGCCACTCCCTCGAAAGTGCTCTGGAGAGTGGTGCGAATCAAGTGGCTTCTCCCCATAGGGAAAGCCGGGCTGCGGAAGGCTGGCAAAGGACTGCCCAGAAAAACACGGTTGTCCCTCCATCCAGGGCGCACTCAAAGGACCTCTGAACTTAAGGTTTATCACCTAAACAGCGAGGTCCCCTCTGCCTGTGCTGTCGTGCCCCCAAGGGAACCGCCGAGTGCGTCTGGCCGTGTAACTGCAGAAGCCGCAGGCAGGTCGGCAAGCTGGGTCAGCGCATCCTCCGGAGCTGACACATCCCGGGCACGTGGCGGGACCTGCGCTCCCGGGTCAGAGACGACCGACTTCCTGAGCTGAGGGCGAGCTCGCACGGGGGTAGAGGTGGGCACTAGGGTGCTCAAAACAAGATTCTAGACTCTCTTCCCCCATCCCATATCAGCAAAAGCAGCAGCGGAGAGAAACACGACCTCGCGAAACAAGTAAAGCTAAGTCGGTTGATAAGCAGCCGGGACATAACAGGTCTTGTTGCTCCTTCCAGAAGTTAGGGCTTAAGTTCCCAACACCCAACTTGTTCGGGGACAGGAAAGTGAAGGGCACAAGGAAGAAAGCGCTGGTCAGCACCCGAGGGCCACCCGCACGCAGACCCTCCGGGGTCGCCGTCCTGACACCTGCGGTGTAGCCGGCTGCTCACCTTGAGATAGTCGTTCTCCGAGCGCAGTTCCTCCATCTCCCGCAGCAGCTCTTCCTCCGCCGCCGCGGGCACCAGTCGAGGCTGCTCGCTGGGGCTGGGATCTTTGAGGGTCCCCGGGACCGCTCGCTCCGGCGGCGCGCGCCCCCCGGCATCCTCCACCACGCTGGGCCCGGAGGACCCCGCAGGGGCGCTGCCCAGGCTGCTCCAGCCCCCCGGGCTGACACAGGCGGGCAGGGGCGCTGCGAGAAGCGCCGGGAGCTCCGGGCTGCCAGGCTGCGCCCCTCGGGCTGCGGGGCTCGTCGTGGGGGCTCCTCGCAGGGGTTCTCGGTCGCTGGAGCCTGTGCCGGACTCCGCGTCGCTGCTGGCGGCTGGGAGCAGGCGCTGCTCGTCGGACAGGGGTTCGGAGGGGCAATCGGAGAGGTCGGAGCTGCTGTCCGTGTGGCTGAAGCGCGAGCCGGGGGCCGGGGACCCGGCCGCGGAGGTCACGGCGAGGATCACGGCGGGAATCGGGGTGGCTGGGGCCGGGGTCCCCGCGGCACGGGAGGGTGGTGCCCCTGAGCCGCGCTTGACTTTTCGGCCTTTGGAGGCGGCTGGCAGCGGCTCGACCCCGGGCGGCGGTGGCTGCGGCTTCCCGGCCCTGGGCAGCAGCTCGGCGGCAGCCGCACGCGTCGCCCTCCTGGGGCCGGGAGCGGCCTTGGTGCCGCCCGCAGTCCGGGCCCCGGAGCCCGGCGGTGGCTTGTCCTTCGCACCCGGGGCGCCGCCGCTGCGCCGGGAGAGGCGACCGGGCGCGGCCAGGGAACCCGGCGAGGGCGGCGCCTTGCTGGCGAGGTTAGGCGAGCGCGGGGCGCCGGGCGCCGGGGTTCGGCCCAAAGAGGGGGCCGCCGGGGCCGGGCTGGGCGCCCCTGGCCGGCCAGGCAGGTCCTTGAGGAAGGGTCTGGCTGGCGAGGGCGCGCGGTGCAGCCGCCTCCGCTCGGCCAGCGGGTGGAGATGGTGGTGGCGGTGGTGCTGGCCGGACGGCGGCGGCTTTGCGTCCGGGGCGCCGCCGCCCGCCGGGCCGTTCAGCGTCTCCATGGCCGGAGCCCGGGCCGGGAGCCGCGGCAGCTCGGGCGGCAGAGGCTCCGGGCGGCGGCGGCGGCTCGCAGCCGGCCCGCGCACCCGCTCATCACTGTCCTCCCCGCCCCGCCCGCTCGGCGCCCCGCGCTCCCGCGCCTCCGCCGTCGCCCCGCACGACCGGCCCCGAGGACCCCGCGGAGCCCCTCGCCGCCCCGCCGCGCGCTCCCTTCGCCGAGGTCAGCGGCGCTCGAGCTCTCCCGGCCCCGCAGCGCGGCGGCGCCAGGCCGCTCGCATCTCCTGCACGCAGCGCCCGGGATCGCGAGGCGGCCGCAGGCACCGGCTCACCCGCACCCGTCCGGCGGCGGCGCTGGCGGCGCGCTCCGGGTTCCCGCGCCCCGCGCCCCGCCCACCGCCAGCCCGGGCCCCGCAGCGCCCGCGCGCCCCGCCCCGCGCCCCTCCCGCGCGTCCGGGCGGAGAGAAGCAGCACGCGCGCTCCCCGCCTCCCCAGCGCCCCACCGCGGGGCGCGCAGGTCCCGCCTCCAGGCCGCCGCACCCGGTGGCGGGGTGGGGAGGGCAGGGCGGTGGGAGAACGGGAAGGCGGCGCCTGCTCCCCTGGGGCGCCGTCTGCGTACGGGTGTCTCACCGCCCTGGGACCTGTCTAGTTTTTTCAGGGCCCTGAAATTGCCAGGAGTTGGGGGGAGAAGGAGGTGGGGCCAGAGGTGAAGTGAGGAGAGGAAGGGTGGGCACTGAGCACTCGGGGGGAGGCCGGCGGACTGAAGCTGAGGTGAGCGCCCTATGGTGTGTGCTGCGCGGCGTCAGCGTTTCCTTGGTTGTCGGACATCCACCTCCCGCCTCCCAGAACCCCTCAGTTCCCTCTCCCACTGTCCTCTCAAAACTGCGCCGCGGTCCCCACGCTCCTTTAGAGATCGCTGGTACCCGGCGCCGCCAGCTCTCGCGTCAAAACGGGCGAGGCGCTCCCCAGTTGGCACCCCCCGCGGCCTCGGGAGCTCCGGGAAGGAGGAGCTGCCGTGGAAATAGGAGAAGCAGCTCGCCAAGCCTGGGGTCAGAAAGGGAACGCACATTTATAGTTGCGGCTGGGAGCCAGGCTCTATTAGACACTGCATAGGCATTGTTTTATTTAATCATCACAACAAGTCTGAATTGGAATTACTGCCCTTGACGATGAGGACATCGGCATAGGGAGGTGAAGTCTCCTGCAGGTGGGGCGCTAGCTAGTCCATAGCCGAGCCAGGATTCATACTCAAGTCTGCAAAATTCTAAATCCTGCCGGTGTTACCTCAGAAAAGCAGGAGCTTGAGGAGCGATTCTGCCACAGGAGAGCCTCGAGTGGGCCACTGACCTTTTGAGCCCAGTTTCCTTGCCGGTTAAAGTAGAAAACACTGCTATCTGAAAGTGGGTGGGGATTAAATCAGCAAATATGAGAAAACGCTGTGTAAACTGTAAAGTGCTTTTCAAATATCACTGAGCATAATTTCTGTCCGAGGCGCTGAATGTTGGGCAATACCCAAAGGTTTAAGACACAGACTGTCTTCCTGACTTGGCTTGGTGGGGAGGCGAAGGGGCGGCAATAATGACAAGTTGCTAGGGTTGCACTTACCTGAGGTGGGTCAGGAGAGCTTGGAGTTTTCCTATAAGGAGGGCTTGACTTTGGCGATGAGTGCCCAGGACTTGCCAGAGCAGGTGGAGCAGGGACTGCAGTGGGAGGGTAAGAGAGGTAGGGTCTTCAGGTGCTGGAGGGTGAGTGACATGAACAACCTGCTGTGGAATTTGGACACTGCCCACTGCCCTCGCGTTGGGGTGCACCATTGGAAGATTCTGAACATGACTGATCTTATTTACTCAGGAAGGTCCTATAGGGAACAGCAGCAACTAGAGGGAGGCATGAGGGGGAGTGGTTAGTGACGGTGGCAATAAATGTGAATGGGGGGACAGTGGTAGTAGGGATAAAGAAAAGGGGACAGGTTTGTGAGAAAAAAAAAAAGGAACACAAACTCAAAATTGGTGATCTCAGCCACAAATGGCCCTACTTAGCTATCTTTTTTTCAAAATATGTAAAATAAAGTGATTTTTAAAAAAATCTTGTAGGTCAGGCATGCTTCACTCCCAGAAGCCACCCTGCTTGCTTTCCCCTCAGCCTTGGTGGGCTTGAGATACTGGCCACATCCTATAACTGCTTATCCAGGGCACAGAAACCATATCTATGCGAGGCTGCTGTCTCAGGCTTGTTGTGAGTCATTTATCTGGTAATTCCTCTGGATGTGTGACAGCACACACAAATATAATCTTCCCTGAATCTCCTATGACACAGTATCTAATAGGATCTCAGATACATGGCTTATTTGGAGAGAAAGGATACTGGTAAGGAAAGGCTTGAAAGATGCTCGGCTGTGCCCTAGAGGGCGCTAGAACTCTCCTCTTCTGGGAACTGTCCATTAATCCTAAAAGAGCAGCTGTCTGTCACAGGGCCCAGAACCTGCACCTAGTACCTCCTCCAGAGTCCCAGAAGGGTCAAAACCTCGCATTTCAGAAGAATTATTTCTAGGACTCTTATCACAAGCTAGCCAGCTCCTCATATCTTATATAACCATCTAAAAATGTTCCAGTGAGTTAGTCTTCCAAAAATATGAGCCGGATGACCAAACCACTTGCATTCAGCTACCCCTTCCCTCAGGTAATAAGTCAAACAAAATTTTCACTTTGAATTAATAACGTGGCAGTTGTTACCATGGGTCCTTGGCAAGGAAGGGTCCAGTACTGCTTTCTTTGTTTTTCTAATATTCAGTGAGTTGCACGTATAAAGAGGTATCTGGTTGCATAACAGATGTTTTAAAGAAAAAACTGTTAGATCAAGCCACTCCAAAGGTGTTTACTACAAAGGTGTTTAGGGGGTTTACTACTTAAAGGAGCATTAGAAAGCTTTGTTCTGGAAAACAATGACAAAATCCAGAGCAGCTGTGCTTCTTTTGGTCTGTCTGCCTTCAGGTCCCTGCCCTTCCCCTTCTTGGTACAGAGGAAACAATCCAAAAATGTTGGTTTTCCGGGGTTCTGGGTTTATTGATGGGGTTTGGCCAGTAGGAGGCACAATCAGAGATTACAGTGTATCAGCAGGGAAGACACCCAAGAATTTCTTACCCTCTCTCTGCCCGAAGTGGCTTCTTCAGCAGAGGCCCATTTCCTTTGTGAAATGGCTTTTTTGGCTTCCAACATTCACTAGATGACTTTGATAACTCTGCCTTCCGCTCAGCTCATGCCTCTCAGTTGAGAGTGGTAGTGCTTCCTGCAGCTGTAAATATTTGGGTTACATCATAGTCCTGTTTGCCCCTTGACTCCTCCCCCACCTCTGGAAAGTACTGGCTGCGTTGTAATCCCTGTGTTCCCTGTACTTAACATTACACTCCAGGGTTCTGATTTTCACATTCTTTTGCAGAGGCCCAGGTATAAGCCTAGGGACCTGAAGGTATCAGTGGTGTAATAGGCAATTTTGTATGATTCTTCATGGCTTCCTTGTCAAAGAGCAGTGTGGTGACAAGAGCTCAGACCTCCACACCAAGTAAATCTGGGTTCGAATCCTGCCTGAGTTACTTGCACCGTGTGACCTTGGGGAAGGTATTATCAATATCATCATCATTATTATTTAATACCAGTGGAATAATCATCAGTATGGTAAATATGAGCACATCAGGCTTGCAGTAAGAGTTAGAAATATCTGTGTCTAAACAAAAAGAAATGATTTTTTTCCTTTTGTTTAACTCATGGAAGAGAAAAATAGGACTTCCTCGGGACTCACCCCCCTCACAGGCAGAATCATATGCAGAATTTTCACATTCAAAATCTTGACCACAGGGCATGTTATATTTTCCAATTTTTCCCCTTATTTCAACACAAAGGCACATTTACAATATGAAATCATTCCTGGTTTGTCATAAGAAACCATCTTCTTGGAAAAGAGTGGAAAGAAGAGGATATTTGAAACACAGTGGGTTTGTTTTTGGTGTTTTAGGAAAGTTAGTATTAAAAGGGGATGATCTGAAGGCAGGTGGCCACCTGGAGGTTGAAGCATATGTGTCCAACTCTGGGGAGTGGGTGCCTTTGGCTCCTCTTGTAGGGTTACCACCAAAATATCATATGGGGGCTGAAGCAAGCCAGTCTTGCGAGATTGAACCCTTCTCGTGGTCAGATGGGCAGCTGTTTGTGGTGGTGAGGATGGTGACTCCAGAGGCTCTTAAACCTTGACTACATTAAAATCATCTTGTGACTTTGTAAACAATGCAGGTTAGAAGGCCACAGCCTGCAGAGGTGGAATTGCAGAGGGTGGAGTGGAGCTCTGGAATCTGTATATTTACTAGATACTATGATGTAAGTAAGCATCTGCCCCCACCCTGAGAAATGATGGGATTCGTTTTTCTAACACAAATCCAAGTATCCTACCTCATTGTCTGCATTTCCTCCTGTTTCTTCTGGAAACTCCTCCCAATGTTGTGTGCAAAATTCTGGATGATGGAGATATAGCAATGGGGAGAGAGTTACTCAGTTGAACCCCAACAGAAACAAATGTCCCACTGAAGGCATCTCCTGGAGCCAGCTTTTGGGAGAAAAGACAATTCTCCCTTGTGGTCTCTGAGCTTAGAGGAAAGACATAGATTAGGGGAGAAGGGAAGCCAGCTCTTAGTAAGGTTGGGAGCTGATTCTTAGTAAGGATGGGAGCATTTTCTAGGAGTATTTTGGATTTGTTGGGGGTATTTTTATTGTTGTTGCTACAACAATCAAATTGGGAACCACTGGTAGAATTTATGAGGGGAGTCTTGCAAAATGCTCAGAGAATTGTCTTGCATGCTGCAGGCCTGCCAAGCATCCTCCTAAAACACTCATGTGGGTAACAAAAATCTCTTTATCGTTAACTGAGCCTAGACTTTGTTTGTCTCAGGCTTTTCTGGCTGGAATAATAAAATACACTGACTGGTAGTTTATAAACAACAGATTTATTTCCCATAGTTCTG